GGACCTTGGCTTCCTCAAAGCACTCACCCTACTCACAGTTTCCCAACAGAGCACTGCAACATTGGGGTATGTCAGGAAGCTCCCTGGGCTATGTGGCAACATCCTGCTTACGCCATTGGAGAGTCTGCCCTCTGCACATTGCTGAGGAACCCCACTCAGAGGCGGCCGAAAGCTCTGATGACCCTCCCTAATGGTCTCTATACAGGTCAGGGATAATCAGAGCAAAAAGCCACTTCACATTCCAAAAGAGGATTCACAAATTTAAAAAGATGATTTTAAAATACAGATGACATAAAATAAACCATTAGTCATTCATGGTAAAGGCACTGGAGTTAATCAAACTGAGTTATTGTTCTTCAATTTCCCCGAGTGATTATAAAAAATGTTCTTGTAAAATGAGTGGCTTGAGATTCTTAGAACAGCATTTCAGCAGCAGAAAGTGTTTGCCAAGCTGCTTCTACATAATCATATATCAAAAAACAAAAACAAAAACATTGTCATTTATCTACTTTCTCTCAACCTTCCTCGTGACATGGGTGTGCTCAGGAGTCTGCAGAAGGGGCCCGGACTGGAAAAACTGGGGGAGTCAAGCTCTACCATGGGTACAGGGTGAGATCTACTTCACGAGCCCAGTAAGCAGAGGCATATTCATAATAGAAACACAGGCATTCTCTGTATTTTTCTAACAGCTTCTGAAGTGTTCATCAAGCCTGTGTCTGATTAAGTACTTTTAAATTCTGAGCAATGAAATGGGCCCTCTCAGACCCTCTTGGCAGAAGCGCAAATTGATACGACCCTTTGGAGAGCCATTTGGTTGTATGTATCAAAATTAAAAATGCATATAATCTTTGACTCAGAAATGCCACTTCTAAGAATTTATCCTACAGAAATACCCCCACGTTCATGGAAGTGTACATAGAAAGATGGTTCTTTGCAATCTAATTTATTACAGTGAAAAACTGTGAGTAACTCAAAGTCCACCAGTAAGGAATTAGTTGAATAAACTGTAGTTAATCCATAAAATGGAATACTAGGCAGATGTTTAAAAAAAAAAAAAATGCAGTAGAGCCATATGTACCACCGGAAGGGACAGCCATACACACAAAAATAATCTACAGAAAAAAATAGAGGGTTTCCATTTTTATTTAATTTTTTAATGTTTATTTTTGAGAGAGAGAGAGAGAGAGAGAGACAAGAGTGTGAGCAGTGGAGGGTGAGAGCACAGAATCTGAAGCAGGCTCCAGGCTCTGAGCTGTCAGCCCATCTGATGTGGGGCGAAACCCGCGAACTGTGAGATCGTTGAGTCGGGTCAGACACTCAACTGACTGAGCCACCCAGGTGCCCCTAGGGTTTCCATTTTTATAAGGATTAAGGACAGCAACCACAGTGCCCACCTCTGGTCAAGGGGTTCAGTTCTTGGGCTCCTAAATTGGACTAAAAATCCCTAAACTATAAGTGAAATATTTTGGGGTCCTTAATTCAGTTTGTAAGTTAACCTCCTGTTCTTTCTCTTCCCCAGTATCAAAGGACAACTACAAATGATTCAAACACAAATGTAAGACCCCCTCACCTAATTGTCACAACATGTAAATAATACTTTTGAAAAGCAGCCCTCCCCGATTGAGAAAAACCATTTGTTAAAGGAGCACGGAAGATTGGTTTTGGGCTGCAGTAATCACTTGCCTAGGTCCATCTTCTCTTGTTTGTATATTCAAATTGCATATATTGGAATGGTAGGACTTAAATCTGTATATTCAGAGACTACTGTGTCACATCCCCCACAACTCTGCCGCCAACACCAGCCATGGAGGATATCTGCCTTAAAATCCATGCAAGCACTGAGGTTCTTAAAGTACCCAAACTGCATCCAGTAGAGATCCTAAAGTCCCCGAAGAGAGCACTATGAGGTTTTTAATTCTGGGCTTTTTCAAATCTTGAAAGCCAGCTTTGATTCTTGCCTATAATGGTGGAGATGCCCAAAACAAAGGCGGTGGGAATCCCAGTGGGAATCTATTCTGTGGCATGTCCCAGGAAACTTACTCCTTTTTAACTTCACTAAGAATGTTTTCAGTGGATTAAGATAGATTATATGATTGTGACAGATTTTATTGTAGGTCAGCGATACCCTTCCGTCCCCCTCCTCCACAAGAGGAGTATACATCCCTGCCCACAGGAAGTTGGGTTTGGCCACATGTGTCTGGCTTGGGCCAGTGGAAAGCGAAAGAATGTGACATGAGCAGCAGCTTCAGACGCGTCTGCGTGGTCTGATTACGCATCTTGCAGTTCTGCATTCTGCCATGCGAAGAAGCTGCTTCGGGCAAGCAGCTAGTCCAGAATGAGGAAACACTGGAGCACACTTGAACCCAAACTCCAGCCTGGAACCAGGCCCGGCCGAGCCCCCAGGGACAGGCAGCCTCCCGTGAGCAAGAAATACAAGTCTGCTATCGTAAACTCTGAGGGCTATTTGCTATTTAGTATTATTGAAGCAAAACTTGACTCATACATGGTTGGATAGCCTCAGAGCCATTGCTCAGCTTTACCAGATCTTGTTATTGATCTCATATTTGTTTCTGATTCGCTTTTGTCTTATGAAACAAGCCACTTCAGAAACATTTTCGAATCTTTTTGGTGCCTTTCACTAATCTCATACATTCCCAAAGGTAACCACTATTGTGCAGTTCGTGTGTATCCTACTCGTGTTTGTTTTAAATATTTGTGATATATTTATATACCCATAAACATAATCTGGTATTGTTCTGTAGGTTGTAAAACTTTACATAAACACTCAGCTGTATGTATGTTTTGTGATTCACTTTCCACCCACCCCCACACTGCATTTCACAACACGTACCCATGTCGAATACATTGGCTCTAGTCTATTCACTTTAACGAGGGTAATCCACCCGTGGACATTTTCATTGTCAAACATGAACAGTGTTGCAAGGAACATTCCTGCACTCATCTTTGAGTACCTTGCTTTTCTTTAATGCAACTTCTCCTCTCTGTGGACTCAGCAGAGGAGTGCGTGCCTGACTGAACTTCCACACGTGCAATCCCTAAGGTTGACTTAGCCAAGATTTGCTAGTACCTGTCCTTCAGACTGTTGCTGGAGCTGCTGCCCAGAAGGAGCCCAAAGTGCCCATGGCCTTGGGCACCTGGGATTTCCACCCCTGGCCTCTGGTGGTGCGGCCAGTGCCCTGAGATTTGCTGGGAACATCTGAACGCACTTTCTACTGCTCCTTTCACATCTTACTCACCAATGTAGATCGTCACACTTTATCTTTTTGATCACTAAATGATTTCAAGCTCCTGGTCAGGACTGAGATGTTGGCAAGAGAGAGGAGTGAGTGAATGAAGACTCTGCTAATCGGCCTCTTTCTTCTTCACACAGCAATTTTCCTAACAGATGCAATTACATTTGAGAGCTTCAGAGAACAGAATCTTATGTTTTATTTCTTTATTCATCATTTTACAAATGGGATTCACTGTAAAAAGGAAATTGCCTTTGTGGTTCGGTTCTTCAGGCTGGAGTGCTCTGAGCTTCAGTTTTTACACCAGCTGCTGCTGCCACCTTTTCTCTAGTGGGTGAGAACCAGCCAGGGAGGGAGGCTAAGAAATCAGGTAGAGTTCCTTTAAATCCAATATATTTTTATTCTTTGTAAATACAATGAGTACAACCTTTTAACTTCACAAATCAGTTAATTCACTTTGTACAAGAAAAGTTTTACTCATCCTATGATAGTCCAAGTGCTGAATATTTTTCCTCAGTGCTAGTACCTAATAAATCAAAATGTGAAAAGTACAGCAGCTATTTTAAAATGTTTGTTTCTACATTTCCATAAGTATAGATTCATACCAAAGGAGCAGCTTATAGTGTAGGACGGTGTGTGTGTGTGTGTGTGTGTGTGTGTGTGTGTGTGCATGTATGCGTGCATGCGCATTCAAGGCTTTACTAGAAACCGGTTTTCTGAAAGGCATTGAAGAGTCTCAGGCTATTAGCAACGGATCGATCAAGAAAGCTTTTAGCCTCCATCTCCTTGGGGTTCCTTCTGGCATCATGTCTCTGTTCATTTATTCTCTGGTGCGACTGACTGAAACACGAGTTCGGACCCCCATTGCCTTTGGTCGCAGCACTTTGTTAACGGGACAGCAATCTGCCTCATCATCCATCTCCACTTTATTTGGTTTGGCTGTTTTAATTCATCCTCCCTCAATTTGCATTCTTTTAGTAAAGCTCTTCTATTTTTGAGATGTTATCCAACCTGAAGTCTTGGTGAGAGTCTCCTTTTCGTCCACCAATTCCTTTGACAAGGTTGCCTGGCCTATGGTATCAAAGAGAAGGGGGGGGAGAGGGGAAGAAGGGGAAGGAGGGGAAGCAGAAGGAGAAAAACAAAAGAAAGAGAAAGGAAAGAAAAAAGATAGAGAAAAGCAAGTCTCACGGCATAAGCTACCTTTCATTCACTAACTCGGTTCTGAAGGCCACTTCATGATGTATTACGATAGAAGAAAAACTTTTGATAAAACTTTTGATTTAAGACCTAACCATTATTTTTAAAATAATTTCTCCAACATAAAATAGTTCTGAAGGCTGCTGTCTGATGTTATATACAGAACTATATTTGGTTACCCAACATTATCTGCTAAAAAGGAAAAGAAAGTTCTACCGATGTTTCAGCTTTTGAGAGTTCAGCCTGATCTTCCAGGTAAGAAGCAGAATGGCATGGCCTGTGGCAACCTCCCTACTATAGCCCCCCTTCCCAGGGCGTGGCTCTGCTCAGGTGGTCCTGTGACAACCCCTTTCCTTCCCAGGCTGCCCTACCCTGGCCGAGGCAGCAGGTCAAAGCGACTGGAACTGTTTTGTGTCAATTGGCATTTTTTTTTCCTGAAGGCTACACATTCCCAGGTTTATGCTTCCTGAAGGGTTTGTTAGTTGAGGCTTATTCTCCGTGGGTAGAAGTTCATCAGATACTGTCCCATCCTGAAAAGTGGGGACTCAGAGCTTAGATGTCACTGGATTTGTACATATCTGAAAGCAGTCTTGTAATTGGCACGTTGCCGATGGTTTTTTTGAAAAACACTTCTTCTATCGTTGACGGACTAATAGAACGTAAAGCTGGCAAAAGCAACAGGAGTTTTCCAAAGCGACAGGGTTGAGTGGGATATCTGGAATAGGAGAAGCCATGACAGCAAGGTAAGAGCGACGACTCATGGGAATTTGCATCTCATACGTGAACACACACCATCTTCAGCATAATTTCCTGATTGGGCCTCTTTAATACCACACTCTCCCTGCGACAGAGACCTACGCAGGTGCTACTGGCCCTGTTGTGTGGGTTGAATACTTGAGGCATGAAGAACATAAATGATGCTGCCAAAATCACTGTCTTTACATTAGCAAAGGGGTTGCATTTCATTTGGAGAACAGGTAAGTTTAAGAAATACAGTTACTGGGGTGCCCAGGTGGCTCAGTCGGTTAAGCCTCCGACTTTGGCTCAGGTCATGATCTCACTGTTCGTGAGTTTGAGCCCCGCGCCGGGCTCTGTGCTGACAGCTCGGAGCTCGGAGCCTGGAGCCTGCTTCAGATTCTGTGTCTCCCTCTCCTCCTGCCCCTCCCCCTCTCGGCTCTGTCTGTCTTTCTCTCAAAAATAAATAAACATTTAAAAAAATTTTTTAAAGAAATATAGTGCTAAGTGTAGGTCAAATAATACACTAAAGGTTGCCAGTGTCGAAAATAACCATGGTGTTGATGATAAAAGTAGCGATAACATTCACATTTTCTGATTCTCAAGGCTCCCTCATCAGGCTAGTTCCCTCAAATAAAATGGTTTCCTTCTCGAAGCAATTCTCCAAATTATTATTCAGGCATTATACTTAGTCACTCTCAGGAATAATTCCATCCTTATTACACTGCAAATTAAAGACTAAGTTCTGTTGGGTGGCAGTGCCACCCAACTTTCATGTCAATGAAATTGGCATATAATTAAAGATGTGAGAAATTGCTTAACAATTTCCTCTCTTGATGTCCAACATGCGTCTGTGCTCAGATGTGCAAGTTCGATTTTCTGCTGCCTTTAGATGCCTGTAAGCCACTTCCTCACTGTAGCCCTGATATTTCTTCAGTCAATTGTTTGGAATCAGGCATCCACATACTTTACAGGGAGGTCTCCCTCCACTACAACAAATCACCTGGAGGACTGAGCTCCAGGGACACCTGTCTGTACCCAAGCTGGGTCTAACCCCTGGCCACAAGGTGCTAGCAACTGACAGATATCAAAATTCCTTTATAGGAGCTAGGTAGCTGAACACTGCATTTAACTGACCAATCACTCCAACCTGCAAATAGAATCCAGGGGAGAAATTGTCATGGCTGTCTGTTAGCTTTGGGTACCCAGGAGTCCCTCTCTTCCACCTGATTCGAGGCTCATCATTCTTTCTGAGCCTCTGAGGACCCCAATTGGCTCCTTCACTGCTCACCTTCATAATCACCCAGGGACAAGGACCACCAGACCACATTTAATAATGTGGTATGGAAATGGTGGAGCTTAGCTACATTTTTTAAAATACCCTAATCCCATCACTTATTCTCCTTGCTCAAAATATCTTCTATGTTTCCTGGAAAGTAATCCCCAAGACCCCCGTCTCCCTTCCCCCTTGGTCATTTACTCTCTTCAACAGCTCCCAGGGTCAGGCCGAGCAGCAAGAACCCTGCATTGCGTACGCAGGGGCTGCCTAGACAAGCCTCTGCCATGTCTGCAGCACTCACCCAACATGCTGGAAGTTTCCTACAGTGAGGAACCACTGTGGGAAATAGTAACTTTCAGAAAGGATAGATTTGAGGGAATCCACAGACCATTAACTCTTGATTTTCTGCAAGTAGAAAATCCACTCACCTACTTACCCACTCCTTTCATTTCCTACTTAGGAAAGGACTGGATAGTCAACAAGAATTAATTGTCTGTTAGATGTCGAGTACTGTACTACCTAGGAACAATAACAATGTGTGTGTGTGTGTGTGTGTGTGTGTGTGAGAGAGAGAGAGAGAGAGAGAGAGAGAGAGAGACAGGCAGGCAGAGACATTGAGAGAGTCTGACTAATCAACATTAATTTTTAGAATATAGGGCACCTGTGTGGCTCAGTCAGTTAAGTGTTTGACTCTTGATTTCGGCTCAGGTCATGATCTCACGGTTTGTGAGATCGAGCCCCAC